TCAGTCTCAAAACAAGATCAAAAAGACTTTTTGGCTGGACATAAGATTTTAAAACTTGGTTAGGTGGACATTTTTTGCAGTATAAAAATTATAAAACCTGAACATCCTACAGTATTTTAACAGTCTTTATTTTACAGCTAAAATATGTTTATTAAATAAAGTCTAATGTTACAACTAATCATGGACCCCTTTAAGAGGGGCTCATTACTATCCTGCTGTAGTTGTGCTGCTTCTAGTSATCCACTGTTCCTTTGCTGGTGATGGGTTTGGTCTGCAGAAAATATAACATGGTTATAAACGTAAATGTAAAATGGTTAGAAATGATCAAACTTGTGTACAAATGCTAAGTTTACCAGCATTTTATAGCAACCACACAAACATTAAAATGCTTTTGAGCAAAATAATCTTTTATTTTGGCATTTTTAAGTGCAACATTTCTAATAATACACCTTTTTGTTGACCATTAAATAAATGATTAGGTRAGGAATTATTTATCTTTGTACTTGGTATCTTTCTCCTCACTATTTGGCAAACCAGTCTGACCAGGAAAGGGTGCAATTTTGAGGAAGAAGTAAGGGTTGCTCTGAACCCGCAGGGCCACCAGAACTGGGACGGCTGCATAGAGCASGTTAGCTGCCAACACTGTCCAGAAAACATCGCCTGGGATGTGAAAAGGAGCTGTGGTGCGAGAGTGGAGGGACCCCCCGATGTGGCACCACTGGCACTGGAAGAGGACAAAGTGAGACAGAAGTTAGACCCCCAAGGGGCTGCGGTCCCCAATTTGAAAAGCACTGTGTTAGGCTTCTTAATATTTGCATATAAACCAGAAATGGTTGGGGTGACAAAGTTTCACTCCAGTTACTTTGTGGGTAAACAGAAGTCTGGGAACCACTGCACCACAGTCTGTTTTGTTGCTTTTGCAGAATAATGGTCCGATTTCTGCTTCTTTTTTCCACAAATCCCCCAGAGGACTGACTTGAATGTTTACTTTTTTAACAAGGAAGATAAACCTCTGCACAGGAGGTATACTGCATTAACAAGCTGTCTATTTAGAAAGTAAGGAGGATGCAATTTGCAACCACTAGAAGCAGAGAAACAAAGCTTTAATCAAGGAGTTCCTCTTCTTGTGGTTCTCTGTCAAATCAATATCAAGTACTGCTTGTTTTTTTTTTTATTAATTTAAATCAGGTTTGCTAACAGAATAAAAACTTGTACAAAGTTGTTTGAAGTGGCAACAAAGCCTTTTCATTTAAATGCTGTTACAAAACTTTGGCCAGCCAGGTGCAACAATTACTGCTGTTATTTTATGGAGTGCAACAGACTGTCAKTTCAGTGTAAACCAGCTGCTTTCCTCATGATGTATTCAGAATCATTTCCAAGTCATTGTTCTCTTACCTGGATCACAACTCCAGCAAAAAATGTGGTCCAGTCTGACATCCAAGTGCAGCCAGGTTTGAGGAGGCCGTAGACAAATGCACCCAGCAGAGGTAATCCATAAAAGAACAAAAGCAGAATCTAGGAGGAAAAAAGTTACTGTTATTTGTTGATTGTATTAAATCCTAAAGGATCCACAAATTCTCCTTAGTCTCTCTAGTCACAGCGTATTTAATTTACGTGCACTGAATGCAAACAAATGTTAGGTTAAACCTCAAAACTCAAACACGATCGCTTCAGAGTGCTGTACAAAAGTTGCTTTGCTGAGCTGGAAAAATACCAGAAATGGATCATTAAAATTAAGGTGCTAGTRTTCCTTAAAGAGCCTGTGACGTGCAAATACTTCAAATACAAAAAGTCAAAGAAATCATTATATTTAAAAAAAATTGGCATAATACACATAGTTTTACCCATTTTTGTCACATAACCAGCATATTTTCTTTTGGATTTAGCTCAGCCAAAATGAAACAGGAAGTAACATCAAAGRGRAACTCTTTWAGAAAGAAAACCCTCTCACTCTGATCTTTGTTGATTGAAACATTGTTTGAACTCTGACTCTTCTTCATCTCTCTGATAGTGACTCAAAATGATCTAAAGAAACATCAGATTCTTCTCTACAGACGTGTTGTCAGACAATCAATGCTCTGCTCACACGCCTACATTCCTCTTTGACATCACTTCCTGTTGCTTTACATGCAAATATCTCAACAACTGCTCATCTCATCTCAGAGGCATGACATTTGTTTTGCATTATGTTATCAGTGTTGTCTTTCCAAAACTGAATTCAAATTTATGACAAAAATTTGATGCCACAGGCACTTTAAAGTGCCTGCGACATGCATATCATTCAAATACAGAAAGTAAAAAAAATAATTAATTTTAGAAATCTTGACAGAATTTGACACATAACTGGCTTTTATTTTGAACTTGGCTCAGCCAAAGTGAAACAGGAAGTAACATCAAATGGGGACACTAATAGAAAATGAACTCAGTAGTCTTTGTTTTTTAATAAAAAATTATTTCAACTCTGATTCTTCTTCATCTCTCTGATAGTGACATGAATTAATCTAAAGAAACATCAGATTCATCTCCACAGTCTGTGTTGTTTGCCATTATAGCAAAGCTCTGTTCATGTTCAAGCATTCCCCTTTGACATCACATCCTATTACTTCTAATGTGAATATGTCAACAACTGTTCATCTCAGCGGTGTTAATGTTTTTTTTGCAATATGTTAACAATGTTATCTTAAAAAATGCATTCAACATTTAATTAGAAAAATTGATGTCACAAGCACTTTAAAGCATGTGTCAAACTCCAGGACTGCATGCCAAATTTGACCCTCCTTAACATTTTAACTGGCCCCAAGGAGTATTGGAAGTCAAAAGTTAACAAAATGCTACAAAATGCCACTAACACGTTTTTTTTTAATTATTTGACTCACTTTCTGAGTGTAAAGCAGTTAAAATTTTTCTCCTAACATTTTATTTTTATTTAGCTCACTGTTCTTACATTTAAGTAATTTTTATCTAATCTTATGTTTAAAGGTTATAAATGTTATGTCTAAATTTTAAATCTTGAGTCTAAATACAAACATTAAATACAAATGCTGCAGCTAAATGTTAAAGTTTACAAATAAGTATTTCTGAATGGAACTCAGCCTTTGCTGTTGGTGCTCCGCTCTTGTTATGACATCATTATCCTGAGACAAAAGCAGCCGCTAATGCTACTATGCTGCTAATGATTTCCTCAGTGAGGTATGTCACTGGCTTTCCTACAAGACTTCAAACTGCTTGATCACAGGTACCATGCATGTTTTTTTCAATTAACCCATTTTGAATTTAAATTTTAAATGCCACCTCCAGCGTTAGCAGCGTTAGCAGCATTAGCAGCATTAGCAGCGTTAGCCGCGTTAGCAGCATTAGCAGCGTTAGCCGCGTTAGCAGCGTTAGCAGCATTAGCAGCATTAGCAGCGTTAGCAGCATTAGCAGCATTAGCAGCGTTAGCCGCGTTAGCAGCATTAGCAGCGTTAGCAGCGTTAGCAGCGTTAGCAGCATTAGCAGC